GTGACTGAGAGGGGCCTGCCCACTAGGAGACTCCAGGAGTGGAAACGGAGATGACAGGGTGGACACCTGTCAGGGCCATCACCCTTACACCTTAGGGGTCATTAGGCAGAGCATGTTAAAGCCATTGCTTTCATGTACCAAAGAAAGCCAAGAGCAAGACTTGCAGAAAAGTGTGTTGTCTTTGAGAAAGAATCTTACCATGTGGCATTATCCTGCCTCGAACTCACAGAGATCCACCTGCTTCTGAGTCCTGAGTACCACCATGCTCAACCAAAAAGTGTCATTTTTAATATGTGGAAACTGTCAGTTTTCTTCAAGGCTAGCTCTGTACCAAGTCCCTTCCCAACACCCCGTGTCTGTCAGAGGCAGGAAGAGGCCAGCCACACTGGGGTTGGGGGCTTGTACGCTCAGCCCTGGAAAAGCCACACGTGGTTCTCTCTGTGCTTGGCAGGAAGTCCTGTCAGAGCCATCTGCATGAATTTCCATTTCCAAAGTCATTAGCAGTAATAAACATCTAGATGTCCTGCAGATGGTTAGAACTGGCACCAAGAGAAACAATTTTGACAGTTTCCTTCCACTAATAGCACTGCCTCCTAATTAATTGCTTCCACTTTAATGGAATAATTATAGAACAAAATTTAATGACAGGTGGTCACAGCTGAAAAATGTTCTGTCTTCCAGTACAACTCAGCATTCTGTCTTTATGCATACTTAGAACCACGCCACTTCTTTCTGTTAGTGTTTGGAGACAGTTCTTCTTACTTTGGCTTTTATTTCTGTTTGGTGCAGGAGGCAGACAGTATGAGCATGACCAGTGGAGACGATACTAGACATCTCGTAGGTAAGTTCCTCACCAGCATCTCCACATGAATCAGTAGATGCTTTGTCTTTACAGTTGAGAACCAACATGTCACATGTGGCAGCTTCCCGACTGGGGTCCACCAACTTAATTCAAGATGTGTTTGCTTCTTCCAGAAAGTGTGGGAAGAGGATGCAGAGCCCAGGCTCCACCCTCATCCAGAGTAATGTCACCCAGTCTCACCAGCAAGGCAATGGCAACTGGAACCACACTTCAAAGGAAGGAAAAATTACCTTTCAGAGGTTTCTCCCACATGTATTGTAAAAACGCCCATTGGTTTGGTTTCAGAGGTTGCTCCTGACTCCATGACCCACAACACCATCACTAACATCACATATGCTTTCCCGATCTTAGCAGGACTCTAGATTGTGAAAATGTTTTCCCAAATCATTAGTCTTTGAAATCATGGCGTCTTAGTTACTTTTCTATTACTGTGAAAAGACACCATGACCAAAGGAACTTATAAAGGAAGCATCTGACAGGGCTCAAGGTTCCAGAGGGTAGCAGAGTCCATGACCATCATGTCAGAGAGCATGGCGGCAGGCAGGCTAATGAACACTTACTAACTGGGAACAGCTCGGGGGTTTTGAAACTTCAAAGCCCACCCCATTGACACACCCCCTCTAGCAAGGCCACGCCTCCTCCAGCAAGGCCACACCCCCTCCAGCAAGGCCACGCCTCCTCCAGCATGACCACAGCTAATCCTTTCCACCAACTGGAGAACAAGCATTCAAACATATTAGCCTGTGCGGGTCATTCTCATTCAGTCCATGACACATGAAATCTAATAGCCATACAACCTGTCAGAAATTACTTTTTCATTAGAAATTCTAACAGAAGTTAATTGTCTAACTACTTCTTTTCTTGATCCTCAGAAGTGTTTGGATAGAAAAAATAAACTAAACTCTTGCTTGCTTATGGGAAAGTTGGTTCTGCTTGGAGGAGGGATGTCTCAGCAGTTAAGAACAGTGGCTGCTCCTCCAGAGGACCCAGGTATGGTTCCCGTCACCAACGTGATAGCTCACAACTGTTTTTAACTCCAGTTCCAGGGGACCTAAAGTGTCTTCTGGCCTCTGTGGACTCGAGACACACAAGTGATGCACGGACATCCATGCAGGCAAAGCAACCATTAAGATGAAATAAAAAAAGTAAAACTTTTTTAAAGGAGCACACTGAGTCAGGCTTAGAAGTAAGGTCCTCTTGAACCTTTGAGGTTATTACCTGTCTCCACTGGGGACATGAGAATAGCTGTGCCCAGGACCCTTATGGCCATGCTGTGTCTCTGAGGACACTTAGTTCACTTGGGAGATGCGAGCACCCCTGACCCCGGAAGATGTGTCCTTCAGTGCTGCTGTCTCTAAATCCTTAGCAAGCCTCTAAAAATGCTCGTTTTCTTCTTTACACTGACAGTTACCCAGATGACTCTGGCTCAAGTGTGCTGCTCAGAGCTCTTGGGTTTCACCTTGAAATTCTTATATTTACCAGAAAGGTATATAGCTCCCACATGTGAACACATTTGTATTTGGTCAGCTCCTTTCTGCTCCTGAAGGACTTCTGCATACTGTGTCTGCATACTGTGTCTTGTAGCTGCTATGACTTTAATGCTTGGATTTGGAACTGGGCTTTCTGATCCTCCAGTGAATGTTTCCCTCTAATATTCACTTCCTGTCCTCCTCGTGTGCGCTGCCTTTAGATGTTCTGTTTCTCTGCTGTTTTCCTGTGTAACTTCGAGTTAAGTTTGTGATCTCTTAGAAAGTATATTTCTATGAAAGCTGTTTTCCTTCACAGAATCTGTATTTTGACCTGATAATAAAATATGAATGTCATTCATAAGCTTAAATGAGCCATTGTGTTGGTGGATATGTATCACATTTAAACTACCAGTGTGCAGAGCTTTGACAATGAGAATATTGCTTATGTTGTGTTCCAGTCAAGTCTTGTAGAATTTCCACATATCGATCTAAAATGCTCATGATTGACTCCTTCCTTCCTCCCTCTCTCCTTCCCTCCTTCCCTCCCTCCCTCCCTTCCTCCTTCCCTCCCTTCACTTCTTCCTTAATTCCTTCCTTCCAAGACAAGGTCCTATTCTATTGCCTACACAGCCCTGGGAGTCCTAAGTCCTCAGTTATATCCTCCTATTGTACCAAACCTTCTTAGGCATGCCATATCTTTGTTCTTGTAGAAAAATGATGTTGAGCACAGAATCAGATAGTGTTCCTAAAGTAGGAAAAATCAACACATTTTCAGGAATCAAAAAAAAAACAAATATCCTTTCTAAGGATATGAGTGTTCTCTGATAGAATGAGCGCTTCATCCCACAGAATGTAGGGACTGTGTGAGGCAGTGCTGGGCGGAGAAACAAGTGAAACGGGCAGGTGTTGCTAAGCAGTATTGAGCGGTAAAAGCGGAAGGCGACAAGACAGCAGGGGCCACGACTCTGGATTAGTACGTGGGAAGTGATGGTGAAAAGTCAAGGCATGTTTTCTCTTCTGCTTAGAAAACAATACTTTCATTATCTGTCGATATTTTTAGAAATATATGCTAAAATATATGTAAAATGCGATATGAACTAGAAAAACAAGAGTAAAAAAGGAAAGCCACTTAGACTCCTCATGCTGGAATCAATTCCAGAGTACAGGAACAATGGAAAGATAGATAGTGTAGCACATGTGTTTTAGAAACCAACAGGTCAAATACAACAAAAATAATGACATACATGTGAGCGGTCAGTGCCTTTTGGTTTATATTCTTTTTGAACACATGTGTACAGTTCATAGAACCTAACTATGAATTAGACCCATAACAATTAATTTATCATTCTAAAATATTTTTTGAGGAAATGACTTGCAAATTTATTTTAGAAATACTAATAAAGGTACTACATTTAAAACTCACAGAAGGGAAGTGATGTCACAGAAGATAAATCAGGAAGCACCAGAAGTCCAGCTCAGTCACAGTCATACTTGCATAAATGTTGAAGCTGGCTGCCAGGGTAAGCTTGATTGATACATTGTAGCTAATTTCCACTTATTTCAGTTGCTTAGTCAGTGACAGCCCCGTGTGCATTTCTGATTCAGGCTGCCAGAGCCAGGGAGCAGAACTTCTCGCCCTCCGAATGGGGTGCTGTTGGCAACTGCTGCTTTTGTTTTCTGAGAAGCAGGCACAGACTCCCCCAGTTTATGTAATCGCATGGGCTTTAAAAGAATACCACCTGTGGGTAAAGATTAATTAGGGGAAGAGCACTGGCTGCTCTCCCCAGAGACCTGAGTTTATTTCCAGCACCCACAGGGTGGCTCACAACCACATCTCATAGCACACATGTAGTATATACACACAGGCAGAATACCCACACACATAAAGTAAAAATAACTACAAATTTTTACCATTTAGGGAGCCAATCTTTCAGTGATCAGAATATTCAAAAGCAACGTAGTGTAAGGGTAAATTTAGCAGTACAGCAGAATGGCCAGGACCCAGCAAGGAGTGGAGAAGACTCCAGGCTTTTCATTCAGGTCGACTCACAGCACCAAAATACCCTTTACTCATCAAAAAACAAACCCTGAGACTGATTTTTCAGAGGTATAATTACATAAGACTCAACATTTTCAACTTCCAACAACAAAATCACAAACACAAATCAGGAAAACAAAGTATATTCAAAAGTCAGAGATAAACAAGTTATCCCAGAAGAAAGCAAGACATCAGAGTCATTGCACAAAACTTTAAATCTTAAAGATGCTCACAGCTCTAAAGGAAGGCATGAACAACATCTGTTGATGCATGTATGAATCAAAAATGAGACTTGATATATAAAGGAACCAAAAACGAAGTGTAATAACAGAAATGAAAAATTCCTCAGAGGTGCTCTAGGGTGGATTTGAGAAGACATAGAGCAAATTTGAAAGTTATTAAGCCTTAAAAAATGAAAGAATAGGGCTAAAGAGATGGCTCAGAGGTTAAGAGCACTGGCTGCTCTTCCAGAGATCCTGAGTTCAATTCCCAGCAACCACATGGTGGCTCACAACCATCTGTAATGAGAGCTGGTGCCCTCTTCTGGCCTGCAGGGATACATGCAGACAGAACACTGTATACATAATCAATAAATAAATCTTTTAAAAAATTAAAGAATAAAAGAAAACATGGAGCCCATAGGAACCCTGTATTAGTTACTTTTCTGGTGCTGTAATAAAACACCATAACCAAGGAGACTCACAGAAGAGTTTGTTTAGGCTTATGGTTCCAGTGGGGTGAGTCCGTGATGCAGAGCAGAGGCATGGAAGCCGGAACTGAAAGCCAAGGGCTCACGTACTTAACAGTAAGCACAAGCCGAGCAACCAGGAGTGGGGAGAGGCCTTGAGCTCTCAAAGCCCCCCACACACACAGTGACAGTGACACTTCTGTCAGTAAGGCCACATCTCCTAAGCCTCTCAAAGAGCTTCCAAATGGGGACGAGTGTTCAAGTGTCTGAGACTATGGGGACATCTCGTCCAAACCACCACAGGCTCCACCATGCTGTCAAGATGTTGTAAAACCTAGAACATAAAAGAGAGAAGGAGCACAGAAAACGTTTAAAGTTCCCCCAGAGAAGAATGTGTGCATCCAAGAAAGCAAGACACGTTTGGAGACACAGACTTACGAGGGCCAACAACACAAAGTCTTGAACATAGCAAGTGGGAGATGACTTATTAGACAAGGGACTCCCGAGATTATCACTGATCTCTTATTGGAAGCCTTGGAAGATAGAAGACACACATTATTCAAAATGCGAAAGAGACTGGAGAGATGGCTCAGTGGTCAGGACCCGCGTGAGGCGTCTCATGACTGCCTGTAACTTCAGTTCTAAGGGGATCTGATGCCTTCTGGCCTCCATGTGTACTTCATGTACACGGTGCACATACACATAAATAAATTTAAAAATTAATGCAAAGGAAAACTTGTCAACAGAGTTCTTTATCAGGCAAACCTATCTTCCTAAAATACGGATGAGGTTGAGGTATTCCCAATAAGTATAAGCTAAAAGGATTCATTTACCATTATACTAGCCTTGTAGATAAAGCAAAACGAGAGCCAATGAGACAGTTCAGCAGGTGGAGACACCTGCTGCAAATCCTGAGGTCCTAACCAGATCCCTACACCCACACAGTGGAAGGAGAGGCAAAGGATGAGTTGTCTCCAAATCTTCACATATGCACACACACAAATACATGTAGTAAAAAATGGTAAGCAGCTTAAGATTTTTAAAGGAAGAAATGGAAAAGAAAGTCTCTCAGGTTGAAATGAAAGGATTCCAGACGGTAACAAAACCAAATGAAGAAATATAGACCTCCAGTAAAGGTAATTACATGGGCTGTTAAAAGGCTAAATTTATTATAATTTTGATTTGCAACTCTGATTTTCCTATATGTTTTGAAAGACACAATCTGTTACTGGTCTTACAGTGTATGAGCAAATAATCTGTGACAGATTCAGGTTGTATTGTTATGACTTTGGGATAATAAATGTAATTCCTGTGGAAACCAGATAAATTAGAATATACATAAGAGGGAATGATAAGGTAATCAAAACCTCACTACAAAAATATTGGAGGAAGTGATAAAGACAGACCATTTTGTGAAGATACAGAATTAGGATTTTTGTTTATTTTTTTTAGGCCAAAGGCCAGTCAAACTCAGTCCTCCTTCCTCGGTCTCCTAATAGGATTACAAGTATGCAATACCATGTCCACTAAAATGAGTCCTTTTTTTGGTAAAGATTTATTTATTTTTGTGTTTTACCTACATGTCTGTATGTCTGTGTACCACTTGCATGCCTGGTATCCACAGAGACCAGAAGAGGGCATCAGATATCCTGAGAGTGGCATTACAGTTTTGAACAGCCTTGTGGGTGCTGGGAATTGAACCTAGGTCCTCTGGAAAAGCAGGCATTGCTCTTAACCACTGAACCATCTCTCCAGCATAAAATGAGTCTTAACAGATTCAAAAGATATGTGTGCAAAGCATCTTCTCCAATCACAATGATATAGAAATGAGCAACATAAGGAAAACTGGAAATTTCACAAAAATGTGGCAACACCCATGGTACTAAACAGTCAGAAGCAGAGATGAATGAAAAATAGGAAATGCAATAATAGCAGTGCTGAGGAAATGTATAGCCATTCTACATTAAAAAGAAAGCCAGGTGTGATGGCTCATGCCTATAATCTCAATTTAGGAGTCTGAGACAGGAGAATTGTGTGCGCGCGCGCACGCGCACACACACACACACACACACACACAATAGTGAGGGGCTGAAGCAGAAGGATTGCAAGTTCAAGGACTGTCTGGGCTATGGAGGGGGTTCAGGACCAGCCCTGGGGAACTTAGTGAAACCATGTTTCAAAAAGTAGAAAGGGTGCTCAGTGGCAGTGCTTGCTTAGCTTGCCTAGGGCCCTGAGTTCTGGCCCCAATGCTGGCAGTAGGGGTCTGTCTCAACTGACACAGAAAGTTTGTTCCTGCCATGCTTATCTCTGCACACACCCCTGCCAAGTGACCAAGTTAAGTTTGTCTCTCTGATCCCTCTTTTCACATCATCTGCATTGGGAAGAACTATTGAGTGCCCCTCAGTCTGCCTCCTGGTAGCCTCTTCATGCGGGCTTTCTACTGTGTGTTGAGGAGCCGAAATTTGAAGGCATATCAACAAGTTATCAGTTAGAGCCCTGCTCAAGCAGCTGTCTGCTATTGACATTCCTGCAGTGGGCAGGAGACAGTGAATGTTGCCTGTGTATCCTGGCCAGTTTTTATGTCAACTTGACAAAAGCTAGAGTCATCTGAGAGGAGGAAACCTCAACTGAAAAAAATGCCTCTATAAAGTCAGACTGTAGGCAAGCTTGTAATTAATGATTAGGGTGGGGGGACCCCTGGGCTGGTGGTCCTGGGTTCTATAAGAAAGCAAGCTGAACATGCTAGGAGGAACAAGCCAGAGGACAGCAGTGATGATGGCTTCTGCATCAGCTCCTGCCTCCAGGTACCCACCTGCTTTGAGTCCTGCCTTGGTTTCCCTCAATGGACTGTGATTCAGGACGTGTGCACCGAATAAACCCTTCCCCCACGCAAGTTGCTTTTGGTCATGGTGTTTCATCACAGCAATAGTAACCCTAACTAATATACCAGGGTCACCAGAGAACAAGTCAGGTAGGGATTGGTTTCAAAGGAGCAGGGAATTCATGAATCCAGTCAATGTTTCAACAGACCAGGGACAGATGAAGTCATAGGGACTCTGCCCACTGAGCACCGATGGGTCCAGGGACCAGCAGACACTGTAGACAGCCTAGAGACAAAGGACTCAGCCTCTAGTGGCTGTGGAGCCCGTGCCCAATCCTTCATCCACCCTGCTGGATACATAGAGACTCTTAGCTCAGTATCCAGTATCCAAAAAGCCAGCTGGCTGGCCGGTGGCTGTGGGAACCCAGAGATGTATCCGCCAGTATGAGACAGCTGTGTAAAGGTGTGTGTACTGTTGATTCTTCACCAAGACCCCTTGAGTAAATCCCACATCCGTGATGGTGGAGAGCAATATTTGACATCTCATTTGGCCATTGCGAAGGTTGATCCACTGCAGAGAATATCTGAGCCACAGGAAACTGGGATCATTGTGTCACGCCAGCCAGAACTCAGGAAGCATGAAAACGCATTTTCAACTTCTAAGTTCTTGCCACCTCTCAGGACACCATTCTTTCTCCCTTGATCCCAGTCACAAAGGGAAGTGTGGTTTCTGCTGTAAACAGCCACATAAACTGGAAGCTGGAAATGCAGGCAGGCCGGGCAACAGCTGCTACATGAGGCTGGGTGGCTCCTGTGGCTACCGACATGGCCTCGGTTAGGCAAGACTGAAGCTGGGCCGCGGTGTTAGTAACCACACAGCAGCCCCCAGAACGCTAATTTCAGTCGGTGCCCTCTGACAATGCACCCCAATGAGCAGGGAGAGAAGGAAATGTCAGGTTATGTCCCAGGCCCACCTCCCGCCCACCCTCCATCTGTGCCTGTGTCAAGGCTCACAGGAACATATGCTGCCTGTTGCTCACTGACCATCTGTTCACAGGGCTGTGAAGTGTGCCCGTTACCTTGGAGATGGGACCCTTGATTGGCGCAACACCACAAACATTTGCTGCTCAGGTTCCACTTTTATCTGTGCTCTGGAATGGGGCTAGGGGAGGCAGAGGGGAAGGGGGCAGACTGGAGGGAAGTGTGAGCTAAGAGGCCAGGCAAAGGGGACCGGGCTGGAGGAGGGGCCGTTCCAGGGTGGGCTGGGAAGGGCTTTCCTAGGCATCCCTGTTTGTTCTCCCCAGCACCCCACCCACTGCCCGGTCCCCACTCAGGCACAGCGGGGGGTGTGGGGCGCCTGGTGAATCCAAAGCAGGGATCTGCCTCTCTTTCCCAGGGCTTGTTGGGCCTGACTCCAGCACTGACTCCGGCTCAAAAGCTGGTGTCTGTGGAGCCGCAGCCTTCCATCCACCCCAGCTCTGCCTCATGGTAGGACATCTGTCCTCCCCCACGCTGTTGGAGCTGGTGTGAGGAGGAACAAACAGGCTGTTATTAACAACAATCGGTCCTGGGAAACATCTCTTGCTTAATTTGAGGGGGGGGGGGGGGGGGGGCTCTGCCATGGTCGCAGGGGGAGTCCAGGTTTCTGGCAAGGGTCAGGAAATTGGAACCACATCTTTTAAACAAGCTGCCCTATTCACACTGCAGCCATCCCAGCATAGGAAGTCACCTTCGCACAAGGCCAGTCAGAAGGGGTTCTGTTCTTTTCTTATTAGAAATCTGGGGATTCAGAGTCACTAAGTCGTAAGTCTATTTTTTTTTTTCTGCCATTGCACAGTCTGGGAGCAAAGTTACATAAACGCATGGAGGCCATTTGAAAAGGGAGCTGTGACCACCGGGACCACACTGTAGTGCTTCATCACAGTGGGCAAATGAGTTGGCACCCCTGTCAGAAGGAAAGACTGGACAGCTGTGGTCTAATTGCCCAGCTTCCCACATTGGGACTACAGCCTGGTCCAAGCTCTGCTTGGGGTCTCTGGGGCCTCTTCGTCACTGGCAAAGGAACAGTGTCTTCCATATGTTCTCGGGAGCCCGCATCCCTGTAAGTTTCCATTTGGGACAAAGTCATATCAGAATGGCACCATCCCCCTCACACTCTTGAAGCCCTTTCAAAAATGCCCTGGCCAATATGCCTGTGGTGATCACAACTATTTTAAAAGCTTTTTTGTGGCATTAGAAAGTGCCCAGACCTCAATCAGGGCTTGGGCCCGAGTCTCAAAGGCCACCTTACCAGGCTATCTGTCCCCAGTTTAGCAGGGGCCTGCCCTCTGTCCTGCCTCCTAGTCTTCCAAGGCCAGAGGACTCCTTCTGACCTTAGCACCAGCCTTCATGTCCTCAGTACTCCCTCCTCCATGGCCAAATGTCTGTCCAGTGCCTTGCTAAGCCTGTGAGAACCTTGTTTTGTAATATGCCAATCAACTTCCTTAAAGACTGTCCCTCAGTCAATCATTGCAACTTACCATTGCAAGTTGAACCTAAATACCATCATTTAAATAAAATTACAATATGATCTTTAAACAACTTCCAAAAAACAAACATGTTGGGCACAAAATGGATGTGAGAAGTAAGTCAAACTTGGAATTTTTACCAACTCCTACTTTACACATTATCATAACTGAGACTGAGACCAATTCTTCATCTCATTTATAATTTAATTCCCATAGGTGTCCACAAAAGGCCCATCTCCAAGGATAAGAACTTCAGAGTCATCCATGGCTATATAGTAAGTTTGAAGCCAGCCTGGGTTGCATGAGACCCTGTATCTAAAAAATAGATAGATAAATGCCCGCTTCTAAGCTGTCAGTATAAGGAATGAGAAATGTCAGTTTTCGTGTTGCTATTTTCTCTGACTCCACCTCTGATATTCCTGACACAGACGAAAAGCCTCAAGTTTTCTTACTGAGCTAGCATAGCATTTCTACCTAAGAGTAAAAAGACAGCTTCTAAAACAGTACTTCTCAACCTGTGGGTTATGACCCCTTTTGAATTCAAGTGACCCTTTCACAGGAGTTGCCCAAGACCATCCTACATATCAGATATTTACAGTTCATAAAAGTAGCAAAATTATAGTTATGAAGTCACAACAAAAATAATTTTATGGTTGGGGTTCACCACAACCTGAGGAACAGAATTAAAGGGTGGAAGCAGCGGCAAGGTTGAGAACTATTCTAAATGCTGATGTCTCAATAGCCATGTAAAATCCTGTATAAGACCTTGGCAAACTGCATCTCATAGCTGAGAGCTAGGTGGCCTACGGGTAAAGATGTGGTGATATGTTGTCATAAAGGCTTGTAGATTTACTATTTAACAGAACAAACAAGAACAACAGCATGATCATTTGGAGTTAGACACTGACAAACAGGTGAAATTCAGGGTGCACCCATTCTCTCTTTTAATTACTATTACTGCTGATGAAGAGGAAGTACCGTGAGACCCCTGGTGTATGCTGTCATGTGAAGGAGACACTGGTGTGCGCTCATTGTGGGGGAAAAAACAAGTCATAGACAAAGAAAGTGCAAAGGAGAAAGGAGAAAAAGTGAAGGTTACTATAGTGAGAAATCCACAGATTTCTGTTTAATGGGCAAAGGAATTTATTAGGAGAAAAACTCACTGTCAAACAGAACAGTCTCAGGTTCTGGACCACTGTTCGGCGGCCTGAGCCAGTCCCGTATGCAAAACCATGAGGGAGAGAAGAGAGCATCTAAGTGCATCTCAGGTCTTAAGAGTCGCCAAGAGGCCATGCCCAAGGTCATAGACTGGTAGAGCAGTTATCTCCTGCATCTCTAGGGGCGGTGCTTCAAGGTCATAGACAGAACAGCTATCCACTACAGGTTATTTGAAGATTATTTTATTATGTACCTGGATAATTCCAGCGAGGTAGCCAGACAAAACATTAGAGAATTGCCTAGGTATAAAATTAGAATAGAAAAGTCTGTAGTCTTCTGGCTCTGGAATGGAAGACCCATTGATCTTGAAAAAAAAAAATAAGGCTCTGAGAATAGGTCTGGGAAGTGTTGAAGACCCACCAGCCAGAAGTGTTTCTAAGGGACACAGAAAGATGAGGAATGTTCAACTTATCCATCTTTGTAAGGTCCTTTGGGATATCTAGTATAATCCCTGTTAAAGGACTTTGTTTTTTCTTAAGCAGTCAGACTAAACTAAGTCTCTGTGAAGAAATGTCCAAGAATAAATATGAAAACCCTATTTTAAAAAAGAGGGAAACTAATAGAGGAATTCATTCTATCAGATACTAACTTTTTCTGAAGTGCCATTTAAAACTATATGCTACTTGCAAACGAGTAACCTGAAAATACAGAATTTTCAAATTATATTAAAAAGGTATTAAAAGTACTACAGGATTTTCCTGTGATGGTGTTGAGCTGATAATTTCCTAAAAATATGACAAAGCTTGTCTGAATTCAATTAAAATTAATTATAGGCAGATCAGAGATTTAAGTATTAAGGATACAGTGGGGACAGGTAGCAACAAAGTGTACTAGAAAAGAACATGGAAAGGCTGGAGAGATGGTTCAGTGGTAAGAGCACTGGCTGCTCTTCCAAAGGACCCGGGGTTCAATGCCCAGCACCCACATGGGGGCTCACAACTGTCTGTAACTCCAATTCCAGGGGATCTGACACCCTCACACCAATGTCCATAAAATAAAAAATTAAATAAAATTTTTAAAGAAAAGAACATGGGAGAAGTTTTTATTATGCATAAACATAGCAGTCTAAATATAAGACAGCCAGAAGCTACAATAATAACAAATATTATTCCACAAATTAAAAATATTTCTACCTAGGGCAAAAAAAGGAAAGGAAAAGAGTTCAACAGTTCATAGAAGATGAAGAACAAGACACTCCTCACCTGTGAAAAGACGCCTCACCGTCACACAAAGCCACTGTGTACCCCACAAAGGCTAGATTCAAGCTGATTCTCTCCTGCACTTCATCCCTCCCCAAGGGAAGAAAATTTGTCCACATCCATCAGAATTAGAGAGACACACAGAAATTTCCCAGATGTTCTATCTCTGTGAATGGATTCTGACAGAACCTTGAACATGTGAGAAAGAATGTTTGTGTGAGGTTGTTCGTGAAGACGTTGCTATAAAGGTTTGGAAATCAAAATTCCCCCAATAATGGACCAGGCACCTGGAGTCACATATGCCATTGTTAGCTGGGTATCACTCCTGGTCCATCCACCTACAGATTTTACTGGTCATCAGTCACTCCACCCTGCTGAGCAGAGAAGCCTCAGGCTCCCCAACCTGATCACAAGCTCAGATTCCGGCTCCCACGTTTATTATGAGGCTCTGATCTGCTACTATTCAGAGGAAAGCAGAGGAATAAATAAAAAGAGCAGTCTCCAGAACCATCAACACTTGAGAACTCCGTAAGTGGCTCTAGCCCTGAGTCTTGGCGATCTTACTCCTTTAATGGATCCCAGAGAAAGGAGGTGTTTGGGAGGAATTTCAATTTCTACTTCCAAGACACTCTGACAGGTAGGAAGCCCTGGGAGTCCCTGACACCACTCTCTAAAGCCGTGCGCACCTGTGTGTCCCCCCTTCTTCAGCATGGTTTTGGGCCATAGAAGGGAGGCCCTGGACCTATTTAGCCTGGTAAAAAGGAAGTGATGTAACTGGGCAGGCAGCCTGACCTGTTGTCCAGGTGGCCTTGCAGCATGAAGCTTTCCCTGAGGCTTGTTGTGCTCCCAACTGTGTGCTTATGAGCAATTGACCAAATTCCAAGAATGCTGTGTACTGGATCCTCTAAGCCACTGTACTTCTCCCAGAAACGCATTATGCTTGTGACTGTCTGAGTGTTTCTTGTGCTTCCTAGACTCCTCAGGGAGAGGGGTGCAGCGGGGCCTGGAGAAGAGAGAGTTCCCATAAGAAGAGGTTGGTGCCAAGAACAGAAGCTGCCCCTGAATCATACAACTGCTTCCACAGCCTGAGAGAGTGAGGAACAAAAAGGAAGTGTTAAGCAAGTGGCCCCATCACACAAGGCTGCATGCTGTGAGGCTGGAAAGAAGGTTTAGAGGTTAATAGTGTTTCCTTCTCCTAAAGGACCCAGTTCAGGTCCCAGCATCAACATCAGTGGCTCTCCACTGCCTGAAGTTCTGGCTCCAGGGGATCTAATGCTTTCTTCCGGCCTTTGTGGCATACACACACACACACACACACACACACACACACACACACACACACACACACACACACGTATACACATACATACACACACATGAACAAAAAGAAATTTTATTTTAAAAGGCTACATGTTGGGGTCCTTGAATGCTACTAGGGTCCCTAGGGGATGTTGTTCATGCTGTGAGTGGCCTGATTTGACTAAATATGAGCCCATGGGATCCCAGAAGCTGGCCCAGGTTCAGGGCAGAAGGCTAGCATTACTTACATCCAGTCAGCATGTGTCACTACGAGAAATTTACTCAAGCTTTGATGAAAACACTGAAGGATGAGATATATACAGGTCTAGACCAGATCTACCTGCCTCCTTCAAACTGGTTAGAGACTGTGGTGGGCATGCAAGTGTGTAGGCTCCAGCCCAGTGTCTACCCTGCACCCACAGCCTTGTGCTTCTTGACTTTGCTTCTAGACAAGCTTTGCTCCTGAAAGAGTTAGACTAGATCTCTGGGGGATACTGGTTACTGCCACACAGCCTAAGTCTAGCAAGAAACTAGACTTTGAAGCCAGGTAGTGGTGGCGCACGCCTTTAATCCCAGCACTCGGGAGGCAAAGCCAGTTGAATCTCTGTGAGTTTAAGGCCAGCCTGGTTTACAGAGCGAGATCCAGGACAGCCACCAAAACTACACAGAGAAACCTTGTCTCGAAAAACAAAACAAAAAAGAAAAGAAACTCTTTGAAGGTTTTCAGGAATCCATTCGTAAAAGAGGTGGTCTACTCAGTACCCAAGGAGGTTTGCTGTAACCAGAAATGAACCACAAAACATCAGTGGTTGTTTTAATTCATTGAGGCTATCTCCAGACACTATCTTCCTAGTTCTATCCCTTCTCATGGCCCCACCACTCCCAGTGATGCTCAGTCTGAGCATATCTCTTTCCATAGTCATGGGTAAAAGCTCAGCTCCTGAGATTCCAGTACCCAATGGTTATTCCTGAAGTGATCTCAAACTGGCCCAGTCCTAGACTGGTGGGAAGCTATAATGTTACCAAGAACCCTCATTTGGATCCAGCCCCCTCCTGAATGGGAAATAGGTCAGGGACTTCCCAAGAGACTTAATTGTGCCTCTGAGCTCTCTCCACCCCTCCATCCTGTACTCTAAGAGGCTCACCTGGTGCAGCATACTACCTGCTTGTCAGGGTGAACTGGACTGTGGTGGAAGCAGGAAAGCATAGACACCAAAGGAAACCACGTCTCTTTTTAGAGGTCAAAATCTGGGATGAAGTTGCCCCCTGTACTAATCAGCTGGTTCATTGCTGTGAGCAAAGTCCTGACGAAGTCTATTTAAAGAAGGAAGGGTTCATCCTGGCTACTTTGAGGGGTAGAGTTCATATTGCAAAGGAAGGCATGTTGGTAGGTGCCATGCAGGAGCTTGAGGGCAGCTGGTTGCATTGTGTCCACAGTCAGGAAGCTGAGAAATGAATGATGGTACTCCGCTTGTTTTCTGATTTTCTCCCATTTCACTCAGTCTGGGCCATGAGGTGGTGCTGCCCACATTCAGGGTGCATCCTCCTTCCTCAATTAAAACCTCTCTGGGAACCCCTCACAGTCACATCTGGCAGTCACCCAGACTTAGCCACTAATGGCACAGTTGCCACTTTCTGCTGATTCCAGGGTTTGAGTGACACACAGATCTGGAATTGGTTCCCAGCACCCACACAGTAATTCCAGTTCCAGGGGATATCATGCTGTCTTCTGATCTCCTTGGGCACCAGTCGTGTGTGGTGAACATACATGCATGCAGGCAAAACATTCATACACATTCAAAAAATATCTAAAGCTTTCTTAAGAGTTAAAGAAACATGGATATTCCTCCTTGGTATTTAGAAAGAACTTGACTGGCTTCCCTAAAAGTTTTGTTCAAGGGCACACACACAGCACAGTCTCCTGGACCTAACCAGGCTATGACTTTGGACACCTCTCTGCCCCAACCCTGAATAGCTTTCCTGTATGCCTGTCAGTGATATCTCTGCATATAGTCCCAGCTACTATTAAAGAACCAGGGTTAGGCAAGACAGAACCTGTGGGAGGGACACTCCCTGTCACCTCTCCTCACCAGTTCAGCCTTTCCCATCCCATTCTTATTCTTTGCAAAGATCTTGCTCCTTACCCTGTCACCACCAGCTTGGAACTGGTCTATGTTCTGCCTTGCTGAATGTCCTTCCCTGAAACCTGTTCTGCCCTCGCTGCCCTGCTCGTCGGTTACCTCCTGTCACAGGAGGAGTGCGGCCAGCACTTCCACAGCTCCCGTGATCCCGTGCAGTGGGAGAACACCCCCTTTTCTCCCTAGCACCCACCTCTCTTTCCAGCAGCCTCACCGATTCTTCTCTGGAAAGCCATGGCTCATCTCCTGCCTGCATGTTCAACGTCATTTCCACATCCATCTTGCTCCTTCACCTCTGCGTTAAGCAACTCATCATCTAGTGTTCAAGGTTCCATCCTGTTGTGGCCAGACATTGAAGGGAGCAAGCTGTGAAGTTGGAGCATTACCCCCTCCCCACTAAGGCTCACTCCAGCTAGCCCTTCATACTTCATAAGTGAAAAGGAATCCACCTTATACAGACACACAAACAACGGTAAGCTCGTGCCATACATTGGTGTTCATTCCATGTGTCCACACACCACACACAAAAACATCCCCCATACATATGTATCCATACTCAGCACATGGTCTACACACACACACACACACACATACCCCATGTAGTCCACAAGCACATGCCACGTGCTTTTCACACATGCCACATAGGCAAAATACACACCAACATCAGGTGCTTCTGGGAACCTAACCTCCTCTACGTCCACTCCTTTGGTTCCATCATGGGTTCCTAGTTGGTTGACTAACTCCTGCTGCAGTTTCTAAATCACACCTCCCAGTCTCCTGACCACATTTCTCCCCATAGCTGTTCTAAAATCAAGCCTGGATGGGAGTTGGGAGTCTGATTTCATCTTCACCAACATAAACATAAACACCTAAAGGACCTCAGGATGAACACAGCATGGCCAGTGCTCTGCTTGTCCATTCTGCATCCCCTGGGGGTGGAGTCAGGGGTCAGTGAGAGGAGACTGGTCAGAGGCCAGTGCATTTTCTACCACAGGCCTTTTCCAGGCCCCAACTGCTCCCTATGGGAGCTCCTGTGCCTGTTGACCACATCTTTCACACTGCATCCCTCCCATCTAGTGACCTCTGCATCCGGACATCTACTGTGGCTATGAGCCTGCTTCCTGTGGCAGAGTGACATGAGGCTCCGCCTTTATCAACTTAGAGGGTCCTCCCAGACAGTGACAAGGACAGCAGGGCTGCTGCTGTTTCAGTATAGTTCCAAGGAGCTGCCTACACCTGTCTTCTCTACACCTGTAGCTGAGGCCACTTGTTGCATAAGGAGGCTCCAAACAGAATGGAAAGTGGGTGATGTCTGACACACGGAAGGATAGTGACCTAATAATTTGTGATTGACAGCAGGCAGAGTGCTAAGGATTCTGCAAGTGAGCAGGGAAAGGTAGTTGATAAACAGTCTGCCCTGATGACAGACAGTCCTTTGGCATCTCTTGTGTGGGGTGGTGGGACAGGGACAGGGACATCTTTCTTCACGCTTCCCACCCTTGTTTGACTTTCTACAAGCTCATGTGGCTTCTGTGGGTAAAAGACAAGCTCAGGTATAAGTCAAAGAGAGGCCCATCGGTCCATTTCTACCTAATTCCACCTGTGTTCTGGCCCCTATCTCCTGGCAAAAATATGATTTCCCATGGAAGTTCGAAAAATTAAAACCATGCTGAGAAAAGAAGGACCAGGGGCTTTTACAGAAGACAGCAATTAGAGAGTCCTCGGTGGGAATTGCAGCCTGCCTTGATGCAACAGAAACTCTTATGCCCTGGCAGCAGTGGCCTGGTGATGGAGGTGTGGGGATGGGGTATCTGAATGCTGCTGGTGGCTTTGAAGTGTGTGTGTTCTTTCACGCCACCCCCCTTAGCTATTCTCACACTTCGTTCTGAGGAGCAGGGACCAGCTCCTCCCTGACCCCATGTCCTTTGGTCACACCTTCAGTCCTGTGTTTTATTTTCACAGTCTGGATGGTGTCACTCTCTGGGCCCAAGCAGCAACATCTGTACAAACAACATAGACACTGTAAAGGGCAAGAGAGAGGACAGTTAGTTGAGCTGACCCTAAAAGGGAGAAACCACCCCAGGGAGAAGACAAGATGGACTAGGCAGGGATTCTGGTCCATAAAGAATATCGGTGGTCTCCTCTCCCTGCCTAGCTCTCTGACTCAGGATTTCAGATCCCAGGCTGTACACAAAGGTTTTTCTGAGCCAAGACCCAAGTGGGGAGCAGGGAGAAGGCATCCAAGATTAGGGTAGTTTAGAGGCTGGCTGAAGTTCTAATACAGCTCTTTGGCAAGTTTCTTGGCTTCTCTAAGACTTGGTTTCCTGTGGTGGGGAAGGGAGAACAGTAGAATTATGGCAGAGACCAACACAACCCGGGAAATATTCACACAGTGTCTAGAGGAAAACCGGCTCCTTTTGAGTAGGTTCACTCATCACCTCTAAAGCATGATACAGGTGGAAGTCAGTGAAGGGCCATAAGGTCTTTCTGGAGAGAGGGAGAAAGAGATGAGGGGGAGAGGGGGAGGGGGAGAGTCAGTGTGCATGTGCAGATGTGATGAGCCAAGGGCTGGTTAACAGAGAACCTCTCACTGTCCCACACATTGCTTCAGAGTACTTCAATGCTCCCCCTTCACGCATCTCTCTCAACAATGTGGGGTCCTCCCAACCTGCCTGGGAAGGGATAGGGTGAGTCTCAAACCTCTGTTCTCAGCACCTATGATGGTGTCTGTGGAACTAAGACCAACTTTTTCATGAGGAGCAGCAGGTTCTCCTGAATCCTATATTTTTATGCAGTCTGAGCATTCTGTGGACATTTTGAAATGTGCAGAACAAAGAACTTCCCAGAACTATCTGAGTTTTGTGAAAATGGCATAAAAAAATATTTGATCAGGTTTCAGACCACAGCAAAAGGAGGAGACAGACATTTCCCTTGCAGACATAGCAGGTGCACATTGTTCCTGGGAAGGCCGCACTTGTGTCTCTCAGAGACAGGAGAAGCTCCAGGACACTGGCCACCCTCTGCCCTACCCCCTTCCCCGAAAAGCCACCAGGAGATGGACTATGTCACGCTTGGCTGTCTGTGGAAGGCCTAACATCGAAGCCTCACATTTCTTACGAGCACAGGAGCCAAATGTCTGAAGTGGAAGTGGACCTGCCCCAGACCATGTGGGCTCAAAGCCCCACTGTGGGTTGCTCCCTTGCTCATGCTGCCCCGTCACTAATAAATTAGCACAGCCCCGTCGGAGGGTCAGCCAATGAACCAGTTTGCTCAGGGGCTGGGCACATTCTAAACCGGGTCTCATCACTGGTACTGTCTGGTCCTACTGTATAACAGGATGCAGTATCTCAGTCCTGTAGTAATATATCTCATATTAGTGGAGAACTAGCATCCGTTAGCATCTCCGACTCTGAGTGTCACATTTCACTCTTGGGAGATGACCGTGAGTCCGAGTCCATCTTCATATAGGAAAGACCAACATCTACTAGCATATTTAGTCTCCAGGTTCTTGGTCCTGTTTGAAGCAAAGCACTGAAGTACAGGGACTGAGATATAGTTGTGCCATGCACAAAGTGCTCCTAGGGGGATGAGAGTTGCAGGCTTCAGGAAAGTCAGGTATGTTTGTCCTTAAATTTGGGCTATAAAGGGTCCACTCCTAATGTATCCTGCTCTCCTGGGTTCTGGCCCAGGCTGGGTGGAGGATAGCAGTTCTTGTTGGAGCCTCGGGATTCCAAGTTAAGCGAAAAGCTCAGGAAAGGCCCCTCATCTACCCATCCAAGTACCCAGCATCAGTGTGCTAGAAGGATCTGCCGTGATAAATTCCCTCCCTGCTGAGCCTCACTCGGTATAGTTGATAGCCCAGCTTTTCTGTGCAGGCTTGAGACGGCACAGCATGGCAAGCAGAAATCTGTGGTTCCTGCCATTTGCTCTGTTCTTCTCAGCATTTCTCTGTCCCTTGATGCCTCATTTGCTTCTGAAAACTCAGGAATAGAAGACTAGTGATATCTTGTTCCAGAACTATCATTCTTGTGTGGTAAATAAAGGTAGCTCCATCTGCCTCCTCCAGAGCCCCAGCTTCAGGCCTGTGTCTCTCCAGGGGCTGCAGCAGTCAGAATCGCTGCACTGGCCCTGCCTCCTACCTGGCTCAGGGTCCATCTCGGCACACACAGCTGCATCATTGCATTCTAACTCATCCTCTTATTGCCTGAACCCAGGAGCCGCTTCTGAAGGTCGTGACCCCTCCTCAGAAGCAAAACTTAGAAATAATTGTCATGGGATCCACTTAGAATACTGTAAAAAGCTTCCAAGAACGAGCGTCCCACACAGAACCCTGAAAACACATAGGGTGCACCCACTGTACCCCCCAAATGTCACCATGTGGGTTGGGTCCTCACTGTACCCATTGTGACATACCCACCCACTAGGGATTCAGCAGTGTAAATAAAAAGCAAAAAACCAAACAAACAAAAAACAAGTAGGATGCCTAGCAGTTAAAATTTGAAGTTTAGTTAAAGAAAAAAATTAATCTTCAATGTACTTATCTAAATACAGTATCTGAAACATACTTGCCCTAAGATTTTTTTGTTGCTTATCTAAAATTCAGACTTAGCTGGACATTGGTGGGTGTTTTGCCTGGTCCTGTCCTTCCCAGAGCCTGTGGCTGGCCTTTGGGAGCAGAGGTCCTCTCTAACCCGACCATCTTTACCCCTCCCCCCCTCCAGCCTTTTCTGTCTTATTCTTTTGAAATTCTCATTTCCCAATAGTGATGCTTCTTCCTGCTGCTATCAGAAGCGCTCATGGTAGACATGAGTGCAGGACAGTTGCCAGGGCCTAGATTCGGTGTGTAACTGGGTCTGTATACTATGGGTATCTGTCATTTCTCAAGTGTTTTTCAGAAAAGAAGCAGGTTGGGTGAAGGCCTTCAGGGCCAGGAAGCAATGCTCCCCATTAGTGGCTGTGAGCAAGCCGAAACTGGTAGCTGTGGCAAGCGTACAGAGACAGGATCTACACAGACGCAGCTGGGACATTGTCCTTATCCCATAATGTGGTGATATACTGTGTACCCTAATAAAGTTGCCTGAGGATCAGAGGACAGAGCCAGCCACCAGATTAGACATAGATGTCAGGCAGTGGTGGCACATACTATCACTCGGGAGGCAAAGATCCATCCGGATCTCTGTGAGTTCAAGGCCACACTGGAAACAGAGCCAGGTAGTGGTGGCACACACCTTTAATCCCAGTACTGGGAGGCACACACGCTTTCAATCCCAGGAAGTGATGTCTGGGCAGAGAAAGGTATATAAGGCGTGAGGAAACAGGAACTCACTCTCTTGAGGTGAAGATTTTGCAGCGGTAAGAACTAGTGCCTGACTGCTCTGCTTCTCTGATCTTTCAGCTTTCACCCTGATATCTGGCTCTGGGTTTTTTTATTATTATTATTATTATTAAAAGACCATCTATGAGTCAAACAACACATCCACACATCATCCTTGATTTGAAGGCCACCAGAGAACTTTTTTCTTCTTAATGCAAGTGGCAGTGGTATCAATTGTGGAGGTGGAGCTCCACGATGTTGCCCACAGCAGCCTGCAGAGTTTGTTAATCTCTCGGGAACTGACTCAGATAAAGCTAGACCCAATGCTTCACTGCAGAAAAGAATCTCAGAACAAGCTCCATGAAACAATAATCCTTCACTATAGTGAACACAATCATGTGCATACCATCTTTCCTAAGTTTTATCTTTCATAATTTTTTTTGTTATTTATGTAGCTCTTCTGTAACATGCTTAAGCTTTTGGAGTTTCTCTGTGTAGTTTTGGTGCCTGGCCTGGATCTCGCTCTGTAGACCAGGCTGGCCTCAAACTCAGAGATCCGCCTGGCTCTGCCTCCCTAGTGGTGGGACTAAAGGCACATGACACTGCCACCTAGCATCCTCATTTCTTTTTATTCCCATTTTAGGACAAAATTATCATCTAAAATCTTCTTTCTAAATATAAAAGCATTCTCTTTAACCTTTTTTGCTAAAACATCTCATTTTTATAACTTAATATTTCTTTTCCCTATTTGGTGACTATTTTTCTTAGAAAATTTAGAAATGATTTTCTTTTTTAAAAATTTTTATTGCTTTTACATTTGTTTTGTGTGTTTGTGTGTGTATGTGTGCATGCATGTGTATATTTCTTGCATATCACAGTGTGCATGTGGAGGTTAGAGACAACTTTTGAGAGTTGGCTCTCTCCTTCCTCACGTAAATTCTGGAAATTGAATTTAAATTATCAGGCTTAGTATCATGTGTCTTACCTGTGTTCTCAGCCATTTTACCACCCAGAATAAATGTAATCATAACAAAACGATGATATTTCACTGTACACTGAGGTTCTTCCTTTTGCCGTGACTTAGACAAAAATCCTATTAGAGCTGTTTGCGTGTTTCTGCCATAGCCTTGGGTGTCGTCAGTCACCTGAGTTCCTCGTGACTTCTAACACTAAGGAACTTTGGCACAATGGGGCACATGACCATCCAGCCTGTTACATCAGGATCTTAACCTGCTCTTCTTACCTTTTATTTCAGTCCTACATGGCACCCCTGTTTATCAAGTTTTACAGAGAATTGGCAAGTTGTAGTATGAAAATCCACCCACTAAATACCTCAGGATCCCCAGAAGTATCTGAAGCTCTTTTATATTTTATGGGCATAGTCTGTTGTAGAATATTTTCAATAACTTTGTCAAGTGTCATACATGTTTTACCAGACCATAAAACTCCCAAGAACTTTACAGCTGTGTTTGGCTCTTGAAACTTGTGCAGACTGATCTCCCATCCCTATTCCTTTTGGTATACTTGTGAGTCTTTTAGATGCTTTTTAAATCTATAAAACCATGCAGCAGTTAATATTATGTAACCTGTACAGTGAAACCTTTCCACAGAGGGTTATAAGGAAATGAAGCAAGATCTCAGGCCACTGTCCCATGACAAATAGTGGGACAGTAAAGGTAATTCTAGGGTAGCACTCTGAAGATCCATTATTGGCTATTTCAAGTGAATGAAAATTGGTCTTGATATACAGCAGCTCAGGGAATACTAAAGAAAAATGTGCTATCAGAGTCTAGTCAAGCATGAAAAGATGCCCCCCCTCCATTACTTGGAGCTGTGGTTCAGTCAAAAGAACAATATCGGGCACAGTGCAGTGGATGGTAGAACTACCCTGTTGAGCTCTCTGTAATCCATGATTATTCTCCAAGAGCCACTTGGCTTCTTCACAAACCATACTAGGATTTTGAAAGGGCCTTTGGCTGGGCAAATGATCTCTACCTTTTCTAGCTCTTCAGTGGTTTAATCACATCTTCTAGGCAGTCTCCACTGTTTGATACTCGCCACCCTACTCAGGGCAGGCAATTTTACAGGCTACCATCTTGTTCACTACCTTTACAGTTCAAGCCCTCCAGAAGAAAAAAACTCCCCTCAAAAACATTCAGGGTGTACTCTAGCAATGCATTCACTCCCAGAATTCTCTTTTGCATGGAAAAATGAACACTGTATACTTCATGGTGGGAGAAATATCCACCCATAAGACAGGCTTGTTCATTTTTACCTTTACTGTTTTATCCCTGAATTCATCCACAGCTGCCAATTGCTCCAAGTGCTTTTTTGGGTCCAGTATCCACCAAAACCTAAGTAATTTGAACATTAATAGCAGACCAATTCTTTCATAATTCTAATGGAGGGCAACCACTTCCAGGGGCTTAATTGAGGGTTGGTGGGACTGGAGAGAAGGAATCTGATTCTATCAGGGCCTTGCCACCCTGGACCAGGCAGTAATGTAGATTTGGGGAACAGGAGGTACCTAGGACCCTTTTAAGGAAGATTTTGTGGCTTTAGTGAAAACTGATGAAGGCATGGACCAAGTGTGACGCTTGGTCCGCAGCCCAAAGGCTGGTTGTCCACAGGCAGAGGAAGTCGGCAGGCAAGTGGCCTCTCAGATCTGGAAGGCAAGGCCTTCTTTCCATCATCTCATGCTGAAGTAAATTCTGGATCTGTTAGACCTTCTTAAGCAGTGGTGACTTGGGGCCTGTGTCTATTATGGAGCCAAAGTTACCCTTAAGATGGGAGCATGTAGATTTTAAAGGAAATACCTGTTGTAAGTGTGAAGGGCTGTGTAGGATCTGTGTCCTGGATATACCTCATGGCCTTTCAGTCTAAATAGAGAGCATACACTGCCTAATCTTAGGACTTCTTCCAGGAGCTTATAGTTACTTGAGGTAATTGACATAACCCAGTGGGGTGTGATAGGCAGGGCTAGAAGGCTGCATGTGTTGGAGTTCCCACTCTCCAGACAGAGCAGAGAGCACATTGCCCAGAGAGAGGCCTGCATTTGTAATGGGCAGAGCTATTTGGGAGTTGTTTTGTGGGGGGATAAACAGGTGAGTGGTATTAAGATGAGCCCATGGAGGAAGTGCTTGCCTGGAATGTTCGGTGCAGACACTGTATTGCTCTGAGAGAACACACTTCTTGATACAGGAGGCAGGATTCATCCTCCACCCCTCACTGCCTACCCTCCACCCCACCACTCCCTCCACCCC